GGATGTGCCATATGTATAAGTAGTCCAAACACATAAACCACTTAAGACGGCACATTTACAAAATAATGATCCCATATCAGAGGAAACTTTTGATAGATGAAATGGTACAAAGTAACTATTTACAAGTTCAGTAGAAATTATCGATCTCTTATTTTTTAAACAGATAATTTCTTGTAAAATAGACTTATATAACTAAAAGAACATTTGTAATGAATCACAACATTAAACTCCCTTTGATACTCTCAAAAGAAAATGTAAAATTAAATATCATTATTTCTTGACTTGATTGAAAAGAGAAAAAAACAAAAAAGCTACGTTTACCATTTAGCATTATTGGAATATACTGTTTATCTTGGCCCATCACAGCCCATAAGCTTATAAGTGTGAGCTAAGATCAATTTTTATCAATTGGTATCTAGATGGTAATATTTAAGACGAATTGAAATGTGAAGAAAAATAAAATGAAAATCATTATCTAATTAGGGATGGCAATGGTTCGATCGGTTATTTTATATAATGTGTACCATATCAATTTTTTAGTTATTCTGTTAATGTGTACCATACCAATTTTTTTGGTTATTCTATTATGTATAACCAAAATTAGACTTTCTAAAACCGTCCAATCATACCGGCTTCTCTTCCGTATCGGTATGGTTTGGTTAATTTTTTTTATATTTTTTTCAATGTCTTATAAAAATCACTAGTAGAATGCAATAACATACATACTTTTATAGGACTTAGCAAAACTCTAGATATTTTTACTGTTTAAAAGGTGATGAATTACGAAAACAAGAAAGATGGCCAGAGTATAGATCCATCAATTATCCTACAGCAGCGTAAAACAAACTAAGCAAAGACATAAAAAAATATAATTCACACGAGTGGAAAGATACTAACCAAGTTAGAATTCAAGAATAAAGTCTATAGAAGATTAAATATTCAAAAAAATATATAAATTTTACGAAAGGAAATATATTCAATACATTATAGTTTGCTACTCATAATCGCTATAATACTTTGTGTCTTGCTAGTGAATATATTGAAAATAATTTAGTTTCAGTAGGAGTATCATAATAGGTTTGAGAATTATAATTTTGAGTTTAATTACTTATTGACTTGTAACTGTTCTCATAATTTCAAGGCCCAAGAAAATATTTAATGCTTTATTATTTTTAACTCGATGCGGTACGGTTCGGTTGGTTTAGTCGATTTTTAAATATCCATTGGCACACCTAATCTAATTTGACCAATTAACAATTATGAGGCTTTACCCGAAACCTAAAGACGAGCTTCTGCAAAACCTATGCATTTACTTCCTTAAATAACAATATATAAAAATTAAATTTGGCGATCACAATCTTGTCGTTACAAAAAAAAGTTCAAAATTAGATTGTGCCTAATAATGAAATGCGTGATCATAAAAAGTATTACAACAATAGGGACTAAATAGGAGATAGTAGTAAGTGAAAGGGGGCAATTTGTAAATAGACAAAAGGAGAGGAGAAAGTTGGCGTATAAGAGTACGTTAGAACTTCAATATCAGTTAGTTAGTTAGAAACAGAGATTCTAGAATATACCGATCTAATTTCTCTCTCTCTCTAGTCTTCTTCTTCCTCTTCTCTATAAATCTGCTATACTCAGTTGATGATTGAATCAATGTCAAGGATACATGTTTGCATGTGTAGGAATGTGTACTATCTCTCTCAATTTGACTTAATTTGATTGGTATTAGAGTCGCGATATGATAATTGGATTTCGACGAAGATTTCGGCAATCGACGAAGGATTCCTGGATAATCAAGTTCCGACAGAGCTCACACTCGACAGATATGGCAGGAAATGAGGTAATTCTACTTGAATACAATCATCCATTGTTTCTTCAAGCTTCAGATGCTTTTCCTGGGTTAGGTTTAGTCCCAATAAAGCTCACAGGGCTAGAAAATTATGCCTTGTGGAGCAGGGCGATGAAATTAGCTATGAGGGGAAAAGTTAAGCTGGGATTTGTGGATGGAACGTGTGTCAAAAGTATGTACAAAGGAGAGCCCGCGAAACAGTGGGAGAAATGTAATACAATTGTGCTCTTGTGGATTGGTAGCACAGTCGCGGATGAATTGATGCCAGGGATTGTGTTAGCGTCAAATGCAAAGAAAGTATGGAGTGATTTCAAAGAGAAGTTTGATAGATGCAGTTTAACGAGAATTTATCACCTATGGACAGAAATAGCTACACTAAAACAAGGTACAGATTCAGTAACAACCTATTATTCTAGAATGAGTGATTTGTGGAATGAATTAAATGTGCTAGCCCCTAAGTCTTCCTGTGATTGCAAGGAGTCTAGACCTTCACTTGAACTTTTAGAGAAAATTAGGCTACTGCAATTTCTTATGGGTCTGAATGAGAGCTATAGCAATGTTAGGAGCAATGTTCTTATGAGAAGACCAGTTGTTTGAGTAAAAGAGGCCTATGCGATAGTAATTCAGGAGGAAAGTCAGCGATCACCTGATGGCAGGAAAGACTCAGGGATTCAAGACTAAGAAGTTTGGGTTTGTCTGTGAACACTGTGGCTACAAAGGACACTTGAAAGAAAATTGCCACAAAATCATTGGTTATCCAGCAAACTTCAAAAGAAAAAAGAAGTTTTAGAGTGGAGGACCAAAGACCTATGCTAATGCAGCAAGCACTAAAGAGCTGGGATCAACTGTGAATCAATTTCAAGGACATGTGCTAACTGAGGACCAATACAATCAGCTAGTAGGACTACTAAACAAACCACCAGCTGGACAATGCTCATCCAATATGGCAGGTATAATTTCCTTCTTTTCTAGTGCTTCAATGATAGAATGGATAATAGATTCAGGAGCTACACATCACATTACTCACAATAAAGAGGTCTTAAGTAATGTTAAGAGTATGGAGGGTCAGATAACAACGGAGTGCAGGTACCAACCAGAATAAGAGCAAAGATAGAAAATATTGGAAATGCAGAAATTTTAGCAGATCGGTGGGTAAAGAATGTGTTACACGTAACTGATTTTAAGTCAATCTATTGTCAGCGTCAAAGCTTACTAGGGATCTCAGATGTTGGGTCAGCTTCTACCCTGATTTTTGTCTATTTCAGGCACTTTCAATGGAAAGGTACCGAGGATTAGTAATGAATCAGCAGGCTTGTACTTGCTGAATAAGCAAGCAGCAATATCAATGTTAGCTGGTGTAATTCAGAGAAAGAAAACAGAATTTAGCCTTTGGCATCTGAGGTTGGGACATGCAGCCATAAGGACTGTTCAGCAAATTCCAAGTATAAAGAATAAAGTTAGCAGTAATGAAATTAGTGACTGTGATGTATGCCTCTTGGCAAAACAATATAGATTACAATTTCCTATAAGTACTACTAGATCAACATCTATGTTCCAGTTAATTCATCTAGATGTCTAGGGCCCTATAAGGTGCCCATATATGATAGGAAGCATTACTTTGTCACTATTGTGGATGATCTTAGTAGGTACACTTGGGTTTGTTTAATACATTCCAAATGTGAAGTGATAGTTATGTTGCAAAATTTTCTTTCCGTAATATAGAATCAGTTAGCTGCTACTGTGAAGGTTTTGAGATCTGATAATGGTTCAGAGTTTTTCAATTCTAAGTGCAATGAACTGCTAGCTTCACTTGGTATTATACATCAAAGTAGTTGTGTCAATTCATGCAGCAACCCAAGAAGTCTCATCTAGATGCAGCCCTGAGGGTTGTAAGATACATTAAATCAGCACCTGGATTGAAGATATTATTGAGAAGAGGACAGGCAGCAACACTCACAGCCTTCTGTGATTCAGATTGGGCAGCTTTCCCCAGCACAAGAAGATCTGTGACAAGGTATGTTGTGAAGCTTGGAGATTCTTTGTTATTATGGAAGTCCAAGAAGCAACAGACAATTAGTAGAAGCTCGATAGAAGCAGAGTATAGAAGTATGACAGTTGTGGTGGCAGAGGTCGTTTGGATGGTTGGATTATTGGAAGAATTAGGAAACAAAGTGGAGGTGCCAGTAAACTTGCATTGTGATAGCAAGGCAGCTATGCAAATAGCTGTAAATCCTATATTTCACGAGTGGACTAAGCATATTGAAATAGATTGTCACTTTGTCAGGGAAAAGTTCAAGAATGGGTTAATTGCAACTTAGTACATACCTACAAAAATTCCTAGCAGACCTGATGACAAAAGGCTTGAGTGCAGCACAACATCGGTCCCTATTATCCAAGCTAGGAGTAGAAGATGTCTTCCACTCACCAACTTGAGGAGGAGTATTACAACAATAGGGACTAAATAGGAGATGGTAGTAAGTGAAAGGGGGCAATTTGTAAATAGACAAAAGGAGAGGAGAAAGTTGGTGTATAAGAGTATGTTAGAACTTCAATATTAGTTAGTTAGTTAGAAACAAAGATTCTAGAATATATCGATCTCATCTCTCTCTCTCTAGTCTTTTTCTTCCTCTTCGCTGTAAATCTGCTATACTCAGTTGATGATTGAATTAATGTCAAGGATACATGTTTAGATGTGTAGGAATGTGTACTAGCTCTCTCAAGTTGGCTCAATTTGACAAAAAGAGAATCCTAAACCCGAATCTTCGAGTAAGGCTTACAATTCCGTGATATAAAAGAGTATAGGAACACGACAAGCAGAGAGTTGGAAAAGGACATCTCAATTATAAACTCTCACGCAATTATTTGGTCAAACCAACCTCTAATAGATAGAATTAATAGAGACAATATCCCTATAAGTCAGCATTGTAATCAGATCGCAACCTAAAGATATGCTCTTGTATTACATATAACATCTGGTCAAGTAACAGTATTAATTAAATCAAAGTGTTTGGTCAGTACTGTGCTACGGAGAAGATATTGATAATTAGTTTAAAAGATACTCTAGGTATAGTGTTTGGTCCACCTGTATGAATGAACTTAATTAGCCCTATTTGGTTTAAAGGTAGTACACAAGTACAGTGACCAAACACAGAATAAAAAAGATGTGCTAGTGAGATTCATTATTTTCTCTTTGATTTGATGCTGGCAATACAAAGCACCTCGATCTCTCCTCGAGATTTCCCAAGTCACAGCCTAGTAAACAACCTCTTTTTTCTTCTTCAAAATTCCTTCATTTAATTAGGGCTTGTATTTAGTAAGCTGAAACGTATAATTAATTAGTGGAAGCACTGATGATGGATAATTTCCACTCATTTTTTCCTTTTCAACAAAATGAGGATAATGATAATTACCAGCTCCTTTATCCACCAACAAACACCAATTCTTCTTCTTTTCTATATTATCAAGAAGACAGTAACCAGCTGCAAGATCTGGTTACAGATCTTACTCCATTCCATTCATTGGAGGTGGACACAAACAATGTTGACTTCAACAACACCAACGTCAAAACCAACAAAATTAATAAGAGAGGCAAAAAGTCGCAGAATTCATCATCAGGTGTTTCTCTTCCAGTTGATGAGAACACTACTGATTTCAAGCAGAAGAAAATAATACACAGGGAGATCGAACGGCAAAGAAGACAAGAAATGTCTAATCTTTATGCTTCTCTTCGGCAACTACTTCCTCTTGAGTATCTCAAGGTTCAAATAATTACTCTTTTCTTTTTAATATTATTGTCGTGTATATATATATATATATATATATATATATATATATATATATATATATATATGCATTTCTAATACTCATGAGATCTCCCCCTACCATTCTATTTAATTAGAAGCTTAATTACCAACTTTCCCTAAGGAGGAACCTTGGAGTAATGGTAAAGTCGTCTCCATGTGACCTATAGGTCGCGGGGGTTCGAGCTATGAAAACAGCCGTAGATTGTCTACATCACAGCTCTTGTGGTGTGACCCTTCCTCAGACTCTGCGTAAACACATGATGCTTTGTGCACCGTGTTTGCCTTTTTTTTAAAAACTTTTGCTAAGCAAATAGGTAATATTTTGGACTTTTTTCAGGGAAAACGTTCCACATCGGACCATATTCTTGAGGCTGTGAATTATATAGAACACCTGCAGGAAAAAGTTAGGAAAATGGAAGATAATAAAGGTAAATTAAAGATGGGTTTAAGTTCAAGCGATGTTGATTATCCCAAAAGTGGATGCTCGTCATCTAGTCATGAGTCCTCGGCAGCAATTATAACAGTGAAGTTATGCTTGGACGGCATGGAAATATTGACAGATTGTAGTGTTACGAATGAAGGGTTTTATCTATCAAGGGTTCTTGAAGTACTACTTCGTGAAGGTCTTAGCATTGTGAGCTGCAGCTGCAACAAAGTTAATGGAAGGTTACTTCACACTATCCGAACCGAGGTATATATATATATATATATATATATATATAACCGTAGCTAGCATATTGATAAAATCAACTCATATAAGTCTATGTTGAGTATTATTTTTTTATTTAAATTAACTCCATCTGCTCGGGCTTTCACCTCCCTTGGTCGTGGGGGGGTTTGGCATTGACCCTACCTTGTTTATTATCCCAACTAAAATTACATTATGAGGGGGACACAGAAACCTAACCTCCCTAGAAATATACAAGTAGGATACAGGAAACAAAGTAATGGAGGTCTCCCTTTCGATATTAAGTTTACAAAAATAGAGGTTTAATTTTCTGACCAGGTTAGGATTCTATTGAACGGAGATCTTTTTCATTTATTTTGTGTTGTGAATATTGTTGCAGGTTTGTTCTCCCTCAAGTATTGATGCTTATGAGCTCCAAAAGAAATTGGCAGCTACGATTAATTCAAACTGATATACGCCTCCGCGTTGGATTTTGTTAATTTATTGCAGCACTGCTGCACTGGGATGTGGACTCTTCATATATCCACTGCAGGTTTCCTGAGAACTTTCTTGAAACGTGACATATTCCACATATTTCTTTTATACCCTTAACATATTTCTGTTCAATGTTTAATTTGCCTAATGAGTATAAAAGGAAAGTAGAAAATTGGCTGCTAACCTTTTTTTCATGGTTGTTTTAGCCGCAACTTCGCTTGCGGTTGTGATGCTGGCAATAATAGGCAGGTATGTGTTTCAGCTATATGTTCTTGTTAACACAAACAGGCAGTAAAAGACACATCAATTAAACACTGTATAGAGACCAACACAGAAGAAAACATTAGCATCAGAAGTTTCTCTACGGTGTACCTCTGTTCTCAATTCAATAGCCTTGCAATGTCTCACAAAAAATTCTGTCAATAATACATCTAGCTTTACAGCTTGTTTGGACTTTTGTTACCTGTTGTATTGTATCATATTGTTACTTTAAATACAATATATGTTTTGATTAATTGTTGCTTAAATTTTATTGTATCGTGTTGTTAAATCTATCTTTAGGTAATGTTGAAAAATGGAACGACCGATTTGGTGTGGTCGCATCGTTTCCTAATATTTTCTCTCATCTTGCGCTTCCTTATAATTAAATAATCCTGTTTTATCTTTTAGCCTATCTTTTTATATAATAATTCTACCTAGTAGCTCACTTTTTAGATCTTAATAATGTTGCAAGTTTATTCTTTATAACATTGGTGCATGACATTATGAAACGATGACAAACAATACAATCTATCCAAATATTGTATACAGTACAATACAATACAATATGATACATTATGAAACGATACCTAACAACCATCCAAACAAACCGTAACTGATCAACTTTTGAACTCTAGGAACTTACAGTCAAGCCAGCAAAACTTTCTTTTTCATTATCTGTCCCTTATAATAAAATAATGATGGAAATTACTTGTGAACTCCTTAATACAGAACGTTAATGTTTATCGACTGCTATTCACCTAATTAACTTGCTGGAAGATCACCAAAAGTTCACTAGAGGGGCATGAAGGAAGATGATTGATCAACGTTATCATAGTTAATTTGCAATATGATTGTAAATTTTTTCCCAATTTCATTTTACTCAGCTTTCTGTTAAAATTTTATATATGTAAGAATCAAATAAATTAAGTTCAGTCTGAGTGAAATGAATTTGGTCCATCTTACAGTTGACAATTAATATTTCAAAGAGATCATATTTTAATTTGGTCCATTTTCACCCTACTCAGTTACTTTAGTACTGCTATACTACAGTGTAAAAATCTTGTGAATACAGTTGATCTATGATGTGTATGAACTATGAAATACTATCTATACGGGTAAAACCGGTCTCGAAGTACATCCCATCTACGATATGATAAGACAAGCTCGAGAGATGGTAACAGGTGGTCTAGATTGAGGTAGGATCTTATCAATTCTGAGTCCGGACCTTAACGCCCCCCTCGATGATATCAGGGTCGTGATTAGGGATTGGTCCTGGCCTTGTTCAACTTCAAAGAACATTGTCAGGTAGCCAAGCTCGGCCAACAGAAGGCCGTGATATCCGTGACCGACCGAATATCACGGCGAAGATCTCAGCATATATCGATGGGAGATCAGAAATCAGTTAATTAAGGGATTTTTACCTTTTATAGAATTGTACCTTATATAGGACTCCCCTACTATATAAAGAGGGTCTGATTACTTGTAAAGGACATTGTAATACACACTCTGAAGCAGTATACTGTTATTTTCTCTTTAAGCTCTTATTCAACTGTGTCTTGATACTGATCGAAGTGCATCCTATTCAAGGGTAGCTAACCCCCCAAGGCAGTAACTGATCAATTCTTGCGGTTTGAATTTACTTCATTATTGTTTATTTCAACTGCAATTTAATTTATCGCTTTGTGTCAATTTAATCCACATATCCTTAAAACCACTTACAAATTCAATTGTTATCCGATTTTGAGGGTAAACAGTTTGACGACCACCGTGGACTAAGTATAATAGTGGTAATTCGATACAAATTCAATTGTTATTCGATTTTGAGGGTAAACATATATACTACTTGACAGTTCCATTTTGGATTCATGTACTTGAAATCTATATATTTATACATTAAGATTATCTTATGCAAGCATTTATAAATCATTGGAGTTGTAGGGACAATATACATTGTAGAGAGAGAAGGTAGACCTTCTCTCTATTCTAATTCTCCCGACCATGATCAACGCTAGCAATCTGGGAACACCTATTCCTCCAAAACCTCCTGACATTGCAATACTCCCCTCTCAAAATAATCCTATAGACCAAACGAATTCCTACAAGGATAAGGTACTGGGAAAATACAAACTCCCAATGAAATCCATAATGATGACCTCCCCTCACCTATGTCCATGGATCTCCCACACATCTCCACTGTCCCAAATACACAAAATATAGAAGAAATTGGGATAAAAAGTATAACTCTATCCGATGAAAATATCCAACGGATCTATGAACCATGGAAATTCTCCGTGATAATTAAATTAATAGGGAAAAGAGTTCTCCATCACTACCTCAAAACGAAAATACAAAATCTATGAAGACCAACGGAGAACTTCTCCCTAATAGACCTTGGTGAAGATTATTATACAGTCAAATTTAACAAAGAAGAAAACTCAAGGAAAGCATTACAAAACGGTCCATGGTTCATCAATGGATTCTTTCTCTCTGTCCAAAAATGGACTCCAAATTTTATAGCAACCAAGGCTACTCAGAGCTACACGGCTATATGGATAAGATTGCCACAGGTGCCAACTGAATTTTACGATGGGATTATCCTGGCAAAGATTGGGAATGCTATAGGAAAATTACTCAAAATCGATGCATGTACTTCATCCACCATTAGAGGTAGATATGCAAGGCTGTGTGCACAAATCCCATTAGAACAAACTGTACACTCTTATATACAAATTGGGTCTCACAAACAACCAATCCTTTATGAGGGGGACAATATCCTATGCAAAACCTGTGGTTGCCTAGGTCACTCTTCCTTGAAGTGTTCTACCTCAAACCTACATATCCAGCCTACGACCAATCAGGGGAGTAGAAATCAAAAGCAAATGGCACTGAATACTACAAGCGAGTGGCAGACTGTATCCTTTCCTAAAAGGAAGAAGGGGCCAATCACTGATCGAGGAGAACTATCATCAACAATAAAGCTCCTAAATGCACCAGGTATAAACGTAAGAATTTTTGATGCAGCAACAGGTAAGTTTCTCAACACCCAAAAATTAAAATACGTTGATAAAAATTCTATACCTCCTGATAATTTTGATATTACTAAAAATCTTAGTAACACCCAATTAAACCGGGCTAAATCTATTAATTATGCTCAGGAATTCCTTAATCACTCAATTACTACTAATGATCAACTAATCAATAATGGGCACATGGTTTCTACAAAAAACAGTGGTTTTGACAATACCACTAGCCCTAACCATGCAACACCTCTCCACCTTCAGTCAAGTGAAAGAAACGTGTCTTCACTAAAGACTCCCCTTAATCCCAATGCCCAAATGATTACCTATACTAATAACTACGGTAATAATCCTCTAAAGACCATAGCGACCAATGACCTTCTAATTAATAATATCCCTACTCATGTAATAGACCCTAATCATGATGATATCTCAATAAATCCGCCTAACACTATTCACATGCAATCAAATGACCACTCTAAGTTCAAACACTTGGCAAACCCAAATCAGCAAGTGTTGGAAAAGAAATCTGAGGATGATTTTGATAAATGCTCTACGAAACCAATCCACTCTTCCATGCAAGTAGATACTACTCCTCCTATCTTACCTATTCCCCTATCATCAACTTTAACTGTTGATGTTCCTTCTCCTATATTAGTAAACACTTCCTCCTAAAATGCCTCGCACACCACTAACTCTACGGAGAAGATACAAATTGATTCAACTCCATCGTCTCCATCGTCCCTATCCGATGGACAACCTCCCCCCACTACCACAACAAATTCCTACCTCACCAGTGATCTATGCACAACCCCCAAATCCTCCCAACCACCAACCTCAGTCTTGGATAGAGTTGGGCCTCATGGGCCATGCAATATCGTTCAACCTACAAATCAATGGCCAAGATTCAGTTCTCATCATCCAGAACACGAACTACTTGGCTCAACTAATCTCAGAAGGCATGCATCTAGCAATGAACAACTATATCAACCAGATGTGGATGAACAATATCCTGCAACCATTGGTACCATCGATGAACCAAAACATTGCGAGCAACATGCAAGACATGTGAAATATTTCGGGGAATCCACAAACCCTAAGCCACCAAATATTCCTCTCAATCTCCCATTCTTTGCTCCGCAAGAAATGTCAATGATGAACCCTATCTTCACTCGCTGGGATGTGCAACACCCCCCCACCTCCAACTGTCCCACAACAAGATCCACCTGCTCAAGAAGAAGAACAAGCTCAACCTCAACCACAGGAGAACATGCAAGAGCAAGAACAAGGTCCAGAGGAGGAGGAAGAACACATCCATCACCAGGGGGAACCAAGGGTGGCATTCTCAAGCCTAAACGAGGTAAAAATTCTAATCTTCAAAGAAGGGCTAAAGCAATTAAATCATATAAAGCTAAAGCAATTAAATTAGCATATAGTTTATGTAATTCAATATTATGGAATATCTCAATCTCAAAGCTCAAAAAGTAAAAGAAAAATCATAGTTGAAGCAATAAAGCTATATAACTTTCAGAACTTAATAAATTACTCCACATTAAAGAGATTTTATAAATATTATTTATGAGATCGATAAGGAGAATTGTTTACTTGAACTAATGAAAACTATCAAAATTTGGTTAGATGCAAGGACGCCAATTGCTAGGAGCTATTCTTTAATAACCAAAATTTAAAATTGTGATATGTATTATATAGTCAATTAAAAGAGGTAATAAAATTTAATTTTTCCTTACCAAATATGAACTACTTGACCTGGCATAACAACCATAGAATGAAAATAATTTATTAATATTTAATTGATATGAGTTAGAATGTCTAACCAATTTTATGTGATAAACATCGAGCCAAATAATCTGTAACACATTCATAAATGAGTTAATCTTAAACCAGTAATCATATATGAGACATTATAAATACAAATCACAATTGACAAACTTTCAAGTAGAGTTTTTATCAATTAACAATAATGCACGAACTAACATATATGTTTAGACACTAAAGAACAAAATTACTTTGTTTTTAAGGCAAAGTTAATTATCAAGCAACAACTCTAAAAAAAAATTATACATTGAAAGGAGAAAATTCGAAGAAAAATCATGTAGCTATTAGCAACGGCAAATTGAAATAGAACAAAGGGGCAAATCTTAAAAAAGAAGGTTGACTGGTTTGATGCAATCATTCAACTATGATAACGCACGAATAACCATCATTAACATTATAACATCAACAAAATAGTACAGGGTCAAATTTTTACCTCCAGTCACAAGCAAATTTTCATATGCGGAAACATATTATGATAAATAATGCAGAATAATGATTT